GTTGGTGTAGTGGATTCTGCAAGGCCGCTTCCGTAAAGACGCAGCCCTGGGGCTCCTGTGGCAGCTGGTGCTTCTGCAAAAACACCCTCCACTCGATGGCCCCAACGTGCTAAATTGGAGCCTCATTTGGGCCGAGCCCAGAGCTTTTTTGCATGGAAACCCTATAGCAATGACACATCTCACACACACACACACACACACGCTTACAGCCCCCGCTGCAACCTTCTGCATTCCAAGGAAAGCTGAAAAACAAATCCAAGTCCCCGTGCATCTAAATCATGAATTTTGATCTCCCCCTTGCACCCAATTCCCCTCTCAGTATTTTTGTGCTTTGGAGATTGAAAATGACTAGCAAATCACTAGGAAAGATTGGCAATCTTAGACAGCATTTTGTGTTTCAAAGGAAAAACAGATTTAACCATTATATCCAGCTTCCCTTCCCCCATCTTGGTTGTGGCACTTCCCCTGCCCAGTGCAGCTGAGGGGGGCCTGTCAGCATCGTAGAGAAACTTCTTGAAGCTTGGTGGAATTCTCCCTCCTTCTTACAGGCTTCTATCAGCTGTGCCTGAGTAATCGGTACAACCATTTTGGGTCTGTGCAAGTTTATCTCAACTTTGGGGTCTTCTACGAAGGTTCTGATCTACAAACTAATGAACTCGAGAGGAAGGAACTGAATGACACCCTGGAAGCAATTGAGGTACCTGGTTTAAGTACCTGAAATGAAAGCAGCGGCCAATCACCTGCATCAGCTATTCAGAAAAAGAGTTATGGCGGGGGATTGATGCATTCCAAGCTTTTTCTCAGGCATCTGGGTCTGGAGGGTGTTTGGGAGAGAGCTTCCTTTGTTTTTCGGCTTAGAAGAGAAAGCACAATACTGGGGGTGAGGGGGGGCGAGAGGCTTCCTTTCCCTCTAAAAGGGAGATGAGTACCAAGAGCTGAATCTGAACATTTGTTTTCTTCATTCGGAGCAGAAGAGCACCAGGAAGCTACTGACTGACATCTTCCACATGTGGCGCTACTACAACTTTGCTCGGATGAGGTCAAGAACAGATTCCATCCTTCTCCAGTCCAACCACAACTACGTGAACTGGTGGTCAGCAGCTCAGAGCATTGCCATTGTGCTCTCTGGCATCCTTCAGCTCTGCTTCCTCAAGCGCCTCTTTGCTATGCAGCCCAGCCACAAGCCCAGGTGCTGAAGCCACATCAGGATGCAAGACCCAGTGTCAGAGGAGGGCCCTGGCTTTGGCTGGTATCTCCTTCCCTGGCTTTACAGCTATCACAAAGCAAAGGAGGGAGCAAGTTATTCATAGCCTTTCCAAGAACTTACTAGTAGGGTAACAGTAACAATAAATCCAAGTGAACTGACTGACTGATCCCAGTGGACTGATTAGGAGTAAAGCCAGCCTAAGTTAAAATAAATATTAATTGAAATTTAAAAATATGCCATGCTGTAAGAATACAGTTGAGACAGTTTTATAATCCAAATAAAACGGGTGTCTTTTATGGGTGAAGACAAACAGAATTCTCCCCTCCACAAACAATTATTTTCTTGGCCTTGAGACACCACCTTCCAGAAAGCCCCTGTAGCCGCACAGCCAGAAAGGTAAAAGGAAATAGAGTGCATTCACTGTGCTAAAAATAACAAACTGCCTCTTTATCAGCTCCTAGAGCTCACCTTGAACAAAACAATGCAAACAATAAAATCAGATAGTTGGACTAAGTGTTGTAGCTTCATCCCAAAGTTTTCCAGCTTGTCCACCGGCAGGCACTGTTACTGGTCAACTGTTACAGGTGAGTGACAGCGAAATGATCACATTTCACCTACTCAGCCGAGGCTGGTCCTTCCAGGTTACACAAAAAAGGGCATAATATAATCCAAAGTGCAGAACAGTTTTTAAAGTTTCCAGCTGTCAGAGCACGATGGGAGGAATTTTGCCCCATTTATTAAGTCAGTGTCTCCTCGTGCCGTATGTATTCGCCAATATCTGCTTGGTGAAATACTACAATTGCCATGGGGTCCACTTTTCGGCACTCCTGGGTGGTTTTGGCTGCCACCCCAAACCCCTAGAGGAAGTAAAGAGGGCAAGGTGAATGACACATCTCTTCTCTGTTGGTATCAGAATCCACCTACCCAAATCTGCACCCTGGGCAGCCCCTGTCCATCACTCACCAGAGGAACATCAGCCATAGAATATACCACCACTCCTTGGTATTGAGCAGTGCTCTCAGTGATGCGCCCCAGACCGGACTTCAACAGGTGGTTCCCATAAAGGAAAGACTGCTCTGCACCAGGCTTCACCCAGACTTTGTACTGTAGGAGAGAAAGAGAATAACCCACGGAACTGTAATGGTTCAGCAACCAGTTCCTCACATGATGAAGTGACCTCGCCAAGCCTTCTGCTTTGGATTTAGTGGTATTGCCACTTCATTTCCAGGCCTCAATGCTCTTAGACTGACCACTGCAGTCAAAACATTACTCGCTGTCCCAAGGCAAGCTGGTTGACGTTCTGGCCCAGGTTAGATAAACTAGAGCGTGACAGGCGTCTTCTCTCACATCCATCAAGCCTAAGGCTCGGGAACAGAGAGAAAACGCTTCTCAAGTAAAATCAACGTTGGCCCATCTTTACCTTGGCATAAGGGGCGAGGTAATCCAGGGCAGTGATATGGAGCCGGAACTTCTGGCTCTTGGTAAATTTCCCAAAGCAGGTGCCCAGGGACGCCAGGTTGTCCCGTGGGATGTTTGTAGCCAGCTTCAGGAGCCTCTCGCTGAAAAACAACACGCAGGGCGGTCACTGGGCGCTTAGGAGCAGGCTTGAGATGGGCCAGTCCCAAAACTGTGGGGCAATGGAGGTTCAACCATCCGTTTGGCCCCTCTGGAGACATGGTTCTAAAGTGCCCAAAGCAAATTAGACAAGCCAAGGAGTCCTGAGATCAGAGACCCCGCTGACAGAGTGTCGGGAACGTCTCTCTGCGCAAACCGGGGCTTCCACAGCCGACGTTATTTTCTTGCTCAAGCAGAGCAAGGAGGTTACCGCTGCAGGAGGTAAATTCTGTTAAAGCTCAACTGGGCCAGATGGGGGGGCGCTGGCTTCCCTCCGCACCGGCCTTTCTCGACCTTTCGACCCCGGAGGAGCCCCTGGAATCACTTGCCCTGCGTAAAAATCGCAAAAAGCACCAGAACTTCACAAAGCGATTCGCTTCCGACCCGCGTCCTGCGACGGTTGCGACAAGAGGGGCGGCCCCGCCAGTTCAAACATCGCCCCCCGCGGAAAGGCTGCTCCGGGGGGGGACCCCCCGCAGCCCCGCCGACCTGAGGTAGTAGACCCGGTCCC